AAAACCCTTTGATTATATCTCAGGGTATATAAGAAAATAATAGGTCTCTCTCTCTCTCTCTCTCTCTCTCTGCGTAAACGCATAACTATATTGTTATATAATTACCGTATTATTGGTTTCAATGAACGAGTTTTTTGTGTAATGAATCGATTGTAAAGCCAGACATGCATTCAGTAATAAAACAGAGTTTAGTTGTTGTGCTAAATGTTGAGCACCAGAATAACGTGATCGATATCGCACAGCATATATATCTCTAGATAACAAACTCAAACTGCCCCTGGGCACACATATTAACCAGGTTAATTTAGCCCTCAGGTTTGCAACCAAGATTGTTGCGGATAATATTCAAGTAAACCACACTTTATATCATTCATTAAAACACTGTTCAATTGCATTCATGCCATAAGCGATATAACTTATATCATATAAGAAACGCTACAAATGTATGGTAATTACCCTCAAAGTCCAGTGCGTGCCGATTGGCAATTCTCTGTGCCCGTGTGGTGTCGACAGTGCGTCCAAATCGCTGCTCATATTCAGTGATGGCGGCCACTATTAAATCCCTCACTTCGACCTCATTGGCCATTAATTGTCTGACCGCCGGAACTGTAACTAATGAGACATTTCAATACAATTAATGATTATAATTAATGGACACTAAAAATGTACAAAACTTGAGATTTAAACGCAAACAAAACACATTTGCATTTCGTTTTTCACCCCATTTTACAAAATCAATATTCAATTTACAATTTAACCGATCATTGATTGACAATACGATTGAGGGTTTTATATACCCCTCACATGCATAGGGTATACGCGAGAACTACCGGTACTTTAATATACAAAATCATAATTAAATACAAATAAGAAAATACATAAAGATTACAAAATTGGGACATTATTTTGAGTATAAATAATAGCATTTGATTGACTCAATAGTTTGGTAATTCTGAGCATTCAATTAAATCGCTTCTTTCATTTCTATCATTATATAAAAACTTTTTGTATTTGGTTTCAAACAAATCGTTAATTAAACGCAAAGTCAACGCTCTTTGAAGTAAATGATTATCGATACACATGAAGAAGAATAAGACGTTGAATAGCTTTCATACAAATCGCCTATCATTGGAGAACAACACTGTTTTCTTCACTTAAAAAAACAGCGAAAAAGTTGGCAAAAGTGATACCAAAGTGTTGTGTAAATTGTGTGTAAAATCTATCCCTGAATCCTATACTAATCAATGGATTCATTCATTGGAAATCAGAAAAGTCTTCAAAAAACATAAAAATCATTCAAATATAAAATGAATGGAAATGAAAGCAGAGATCAAGAGTTACCACAATATATGTCATAAACGAGAGAAACAGAGAGACAATTATCGTATTGTGTGTATAAAAACAAGATTACAATTGTATTCACAGAGAAAACAATGAAAAACAACAAAAAACAATCGATTGTTGAGAAAAGATGTCACAAATTATCTGCAAAAAACTCTTTGTCACCACTTTTTCAGCCGCTTTTAAAAGCGATGACGAGTTATGTCTGCGATATAACCATAAGATAAGTGTCTGTACTGTACTGTTCACTGTATTGTGGAGTACACTATACACTGTACACACTGTGACTGTCATTATGTGTGGCATATTTTCCATACGAGAAGTGACAGCACAGGTCTCGGGAGCTCTGGTATCGGGTGGGAGAGGGAGGGGAAGGGAGGGAGAGATATATACCTTTGGGTGGAGACGCCTTCGGACGCCTGGGCGGCGGTGAGTCGGCCGGCGGTAATGTTGACATCTCTTTGGTGTAGATTTGATGAGTGATTGGATGCTAATGACGGCTGTAATCACTTGTCTCGTAAGTCAGTCACGTGAACGCACCGGCAGTTTGCTATTCACTCCTATAGATGGCGTTCATTACAACACTACACTCTACTCATGGTTTTAATACAAGTTTAAATTATAGGTTTAGGCTATATATTTGTTGCAATGATTTACGTGTTTTGCGTACACATGGTATACAAAAGCGAGCGCTGCCTGTATTTCATATGACATGCTTTGAAAATCGCATTCAAAACAAAAACATTTTCAAAATCAAAACAACTCTTATATCTGTCGGCTGTTTGACCGCAAAGAGCGCCACAATTACTACCACTTCTTCATCACTGCTATCATCACCAGAAGGAGTGGACACTCGCGAAGACAATGACAACAAACAAACGCGTGCTTTACTGCGGAGGACTGTCGGAAGAAGTGGACGACAAGATGGTTGAGTCGGCGTTCATCCCATTCGGGGACATAATAGACGTGAATCTTCCCATCGATTTCGCGACACAAAAACACCGCGGATTCGCTTTTGTGGAGTTCGAGTCGGCCGAAGACGCGGCCGCAGCCGTCGACAACATGAACGACGCCGAGATCTGTGGCAAAACCATTCGCGTCAATATCGCGAAGCCTATCAAACTCAAGGAGGGATCCGCTCGAGCCGTCTGGTCGGAGGACGCGTGGCTTCAGAAACACGCGGGACAGACACTCACTGACGGCCAGCAGAAGGACACCAATAAGACCGACGACGAGAAGGAGGGCGAGTCCGCGGCCGCCGCCACCGCTGTTGAGGGCGAATCCGCTGGCGGTGAGAAACTGGAGGCCGATATGGAGGCTGTGGCCGATGAGGACGAGTCGCCAGAAGTGAAGCGTTTGAAAGCGAATCCCAATGTGTTTTTCGATATGCGAATGGACGGCCAGTTTATCGGCCGAATACGGATTATGCTTCGCAAAGACATGTGTCCGCTAACGGCCGAGAATTTCCGCTGCCTTTGCACTCATGAGAAGGGCTTTGGCTTTAAAAATACAATTTTTCACAGAATTATTCCCAATTTTATGGTAAGTGTCTTATAGTGTTATTTTTGGTGATGTATTGTCTGTGATATTAATGGCATGAATGGTGTGTGCATTAGCTTCAAGGCGGAGACTTCACGAACAGTGACGGAACGGGCGGTCGCTCTATATATGGCCGTAAGTTTGAAGACGAGAACTTTGCGCTCAAACACAACGTTCCCGGACTGCTATCGATGGCCAACTCCGGGCCCAACACTAATGGCTCCCAATTCTTCATAACAACCGCACGAACGGAATGGTTGGACGGAAAGCATGTAGTGTTCGGTCAAGTAGTGCAGGGCATGGAAGTAGTGAAGCGTATCGAACAGTGCGGTACTAAAAGTGGTAAACCAACCAAAAAAGTGGTGATTAGTAATTGTGGTGAACTCGTGTGAAGTGTATCATTAAATGTACTTTGATTTGTAATTAATAATTCATTTCATAATTAAATATTTATCACAAGAATTAAAGTTTCATATAATTGACTAAATTTTAGTTGAATTTCACAATTGTTTCATAAATTTAAACAAAACAATAATTTATCACATTTTTGAGTCAACGGTTCTTTTATTTAGTTTCGGATATTTTAATGTAAATAATAATTAATAATCAGATTAATAGCAATCAATAATTTTTTATTTGAATTTACAATCAATTAAATATTTTTAATACAAACTTTTGCTAATTTTCAAATTTCTTGACATTTGTTGTCCGACTAAAAGATTTTCTTCAGTATCTCTATAGACACTAATTGTGAACAACTTTTTGGAGTCTCTTTCGGACCAATCAATGAAATCATTGATGAATTGTTTGCAAAAGTCTGTGTATTGCTGTCGATCGTAGTTATTAATAAGCATTAAATCAATTGATGATAAATTCATGAATTCATTCATTTGTTGGCAGAAAACGTGTCTTTTTTTGGCCAAATTATCGATAAAAACACCCAATTTTCTGATTGAAGTGTTTCTTCCGATTAAACGATATGTTTGTCTAAAACATGTCAAACAATTGTCTTCATTGACTTCACATCTGATGGATACAGACATTAAGACAAAAGTCTTGAGAATAGGGAAACACTTGAGGAAAGACTCGAAGGCATATTCACTCATAAATTGTACTTTTAATAGAGAAAGTGTTTTCACATTTGAGAAGCGAATCGATTGTCCGATGAATTCATTTTCCATAAATGTAATACAAAGTATCTCTAGATTTACGAGATTTAACTGCTTTTGGGCCACACTTTGTAGGCATTGATTGGTTTTATAATTTGCGAATCCCTTCAAAGACATGCCATTCATTACGAGTTTCAGCGCCCCAGAGGTTAATACTACTAAGTGATTGAAATAAAAATACTCCAATTGTCGGGCATTTGTGGCCAACAATTCCTCCATTAATTCGCTTTCGATATCCATTTGTGAATTCGACCAAAATTTGAAAAACTTAATACTTTTGGGCAAACATTGAAATAATTGTACGATTCGGTGGTTTTCGGTATACCTCACACATAACTTTGTGAGTTCTTTCAATTCTCGGATCAATTCAATTGTGTTCCTCGAATGACTGTTAAAATATGCCATAAATTGTGTGATTCTTCCCGACAAGAGTTGTCCCAATTGTCTCATCTCTTCATTTGTGAAGTCATAAGAAATGCATAAAAATAACGATTTGATTGATTCAAATGCTTTCAGAATTTCATAGATTGTCTTGAAATTGGTCTCGAAGTCAATGATTGCTAAATACTGAATGTTTGGTAACTTATGGGCCAACCATAGGATTCGCTCTTTACTACCGATAAGACACGGCTTTCCATTTGAATGGCACTCAAGAAAGCGTTTCGGAAATTCATATAAATTGAAAATCATATCAATTCTCATAATATATTCGTCAAATTTATCGGTTTTGTTGAATGATATGGTCTTCTGCTGTCGGAACCGATAATCGGCGCACTTTTGGAACTGTTGTGAGACTCTCTCCAGAGGTATCAACTCATGGATCTCGAGGTGTGAGAAGATCTCAATCACCAAATCGTTATTCAAGACATTTGTCTTAAGAGTTTTGTCACTCTTTTCAGTACTCATTTTGAATTGAATTTCAATCAATATTTTTGTTGTAATTTTAAAACTATTTTAACGTATTTTTATTAATAATTTAAAATTCAAAAAATTGTAACGTTTTGTAATTAAATTAATACTGTACTATTTTATTGTTATATTTATTAAATTTTTTATATATTGTAAATATTAAACAATAAACAATTAATTTCCATTCATTAGTTGTTTATTTAGTATTTAAACAATTTGTTAATCTATTTGTGTTTAAAATGTGATTTCTATTCATTTAATTACTTAATTGTAAATTAGTTTCTGTTGTTATTTGTAGAAAATATTCATTCATTCGTTGCTTTAAATTTAATGTAAGATTTGTTCACTTGATTTGTAATTAATAATTCATTTCATAATTAAATATTTATCACAAGAATTCAAGTTTCATATAATTGACTAAATTTTAGTTGAATTTTACAATTTTCTTAAACAAAACAATGATTTATAAACTTTTGAATCAAAGTTTCTTTTATTTAGTTTAAGATGTTTTTGTGTAAAATAATAATAATTAATAACAAGAATAATATCAATCAATAATTTTTTATTTCAATTCACAAAAATTGCTTTCATTTACAAACTTTTTCTGATTTTTAAATGTCTTGGCATTTGTTGTAGACATGAATTGTGAATAACGTGTTGTATTGACGCCATCTATAGGCCACACAATAAGTGCCGGTGTATTCACGCGACTGACGAACACAACTAAAAACAGTGCAAAACTTGTAGTGAAATAGTGTTGTGTTGTCTCTTATGTAATACTAAACACTTGAGAAATAAACTCAAACATCAATCCAGTCTTTAACCCAAAGATCAGCCAAAGAAGTGGAAGAATGGCATCAAATGGTTGGGAAACTGTGGGCAAAAAGAAGGCCACAAAGGGATCAGTTAAGGGCCAGAAGAAGAGGCCAGTGTTTGACGGCACGGATCACTCGGAACCCACCGGTAAGTGATTGTCCGTATGTGACACGTCATTCACACCTTACAAACTATCACCCAAACTGATCCACACGTGTGTTGTGTTTCGCAGCGCCCATAACTATAGCGGACACTAATTTCAAACTGTTGAACGACTTGGAGGACCGAAAGGCCACTAAACTGAACCATCAAAACCACACGAAGACCGGCAATGGGAGTAACAACAATCACAAGTCGGTCGTCGACCAGAATCGCGACAACGAGTCCATCGATAAGAAGTCTTCGCCCAAACCGAAGCCCAAGAAGAAGGCGACCACCGCTGGTGTGACTGATTCGCCGCCACCGAAGTCCGCGCCAAACAAACCGTTGACTTTTGAACAGTTGGCTAAAGAGGTATGTGTTTTGTGTGCATCTCTTTAGGAGTTATTTTTATCAAACGCTTCATCTTTGAGACTAAACGACTTGATTAACCACTCGTTGTGTCTATAAATAGCAAATTGTTATCATGTTTTTTAATCACAATTATGTGCTGTTCTTTAACCACTGATTTGTTCGTTGAATATCAGCTCAAAGTGTCTGAGTTTGAGTCGGTGTCCGAAGAGACGAAACTCAAGTTCCCGGATATGCCTCTCATTTGGCTCAAAGACATCGCATACTTCTGTAAGTGATCCACAAAAACAAGTAATTAATCGCTTGTTTTTGTTTTAATATTTCTGTGCCATTGGTTTGTATGCTATTGTATGCGAAATATCTATTTTTAAACATTCATTGGCTTTGGATTTTAAATGTCTTCTACGCTGTGCTATAAAAGCGTGAAAAACAAAGTAAAAAAGTTTTTTATTTGCATTTTTAAGTACAGAAAACACGTTATTAACTAAAAAAGTCTATCGATTTTTGCATACTATGTTTGCATTGCAATTGTATTTAAATAGTGAACACATAAAACATGAATATTTTACTTGTATTTAATTTAATTCATTAGATTTATAAGTATTTCTATGATTTCCGTCTCAATACAAAAACTAAATAATTTTTTCAATAGCTTTTAAATGTCAATGAAATTGTATTATTTTTGTTATAGAAGTCAAGTGATTAAATTCAGTGATTATTTCTTATAATGAGATATATTTATATATTCAGAGTGTTTGCCCAGAATTTCGATCGGATTCTTGTTTTTTATAATTATATAGACTTTTAGAAAAATATTGATTTTTATTATCTGTTTATTATTGTGAAAATATTTCAAATATTTAATGAAAACATTATTTGACTTATATTTTCTTGACGTGTAGTGAACGGGAAGTTTCCATCCGTTGAACCCGAAGACGTGACGTTTGCCGACAAATCAATTGGTAATTAATTAGCGGACAAAACATTTGATTTAATAACTA